ATTGTGTTATCTCTACCTCTCTCTTGTGCGTGTGCGTGTGTGTGCGTGTGTGTGTTTGTTTTGCTTTGCTTTGCTTTGGATTGTGCTCTCCTCCCTCCTACCTCACTCCACGACCGCCGCCACCGTTGTCACGGCTGCGCAGTCGATGCGGCTGTACCCGCCAGTGCTCGGCACGGGCCGCGTGCTCGACCAGCCCCTCGAACTCCAGTGCGGCGTTGTCCTCCAGCCAGGCACTTCAGGTACGTGCTGATGAAGGTCGTGGTAGTGATGCTGATGATGGGTATGTGTGCGTGTGTTTGCGTGTGTGTGTTTGTGTGTGTGTGTGTGTGTGTGTGTGTGTGTGTGTGTGTGTGTGTGTGTGTGTGTGTGCGTGCGTGTGCGTGCGCGCTTCTTTTTGTACCGTTCCTCGTTCGTTTTCCTTTCCCGTCAATCACCCATCGCCTTGCTGCAACCACATCAATCCACATCAATCCACATCAATCCACATCAATCCACATCAATGGTCCACCTACGTCGGTCACGCCACATGACGCGCGTTACCGCTTTGCAGTTGGCTGCAGCAGCTTCGCCTCCCACCGCAACCCTGATACATGGGAGGACCCAGACACATACAACCCAGAGCGGTGAGAGCATGCACTCAATCGTGCTCGTGCACACATACACACATCCATGTCATGATTGCACTTCCACCATCCACAACATCCACGACATCTTACTCACCGTCATCCTCATGCTCCGTGCCGCCTTGTGTGTGTGTGTGTTTGTTTGTGTGTGTTTGTTTGTTTGCTTTTTCAGGTTCCTGGAAACGCGTCCGGACATTTACGCCTATTTCCCGTTCTCTGTTGGCAGCCGCAACTGCATTGGCAACAACTTTGCCATGAACGAGATTCGCGTTGTCATGTGCCAGCTCCTGCGCAAGTTCAAGTTCCTTCCCGTCGACGTAAGCCCAAGCTCGCTCGCTTGGCTGTTTGTTTGTTTGTTTGTTGTGTGTCTCTGTCTGTCTGCGTATCTACTTGTCTGTCTGTCTGTCTGTCTGTCTCTGTGGGTGCGCCCATCTGGCTGGCTGCGTCCTGTACACCACCACCACCACCACGGTTTTCCTGTCCCTCCACATGTATCCCTCACCCTTGCTCCACCTCACCCCCCTCCCTTCCCCCCCCCCCCACACACACACATATCATCAACCCTCCCCACCCGCGCGCGTCTCGCTACACCAGTACGAGCCCCTCCTTGAGTCTGTGCTTGTGCTGCGCAGCCAGAACGGCGTGAAAGTCCGGATACAGGTCAGCGATGCACGCATGTTGCACGCACGCATGTTGTGCACATGCAGACACACACACATGCACACATGCAGACACACGAACACACATGCAGACACACATGCACACATGCAGGCACACATGCACACATGCACACGTACGGGACCCGGTTGAACCATCTCCCAGCTGCTGCCGACGTGTGCGTGTTGCACTCGTGCCCGTGTCCCCACGTTGCTTCGGCTCATTTCTGACATCCTTTTGTGTTGTTTGCAGAAACTGCACGAAGACAACTAGGCGGATGTGGCGCAACATTCCCCGTCCCACAATGCCCTCTCCTACGTGCACACACACACACACAGAGCAACGCCATATGCACCATTCAGCTTAGATCTCAACAAGCCAGCAAACAAACAAGGCTTTCCTCTCTCCTTTCCCACCTCTACCCAACTCCGCCCACCACCACTCCATCTCTTTCGTTGGCTTCTGTTGCTTCCACCCCGTTTCTTGCCATCACCCTTCCTTCACAGCACCCCCCTCGCTTGCGTTTTCCGTAGCTTAAGGTCCCCCCCTCCTCTCCCCGTTTTGGTTTCGTTGCCTTGTGTCGCCTGCACATCACCTCTTTAGCCCTTCCTAACCCCTTTCTCGCTCAACACACACACGCACACACACCATAAACAACAACCGCCACTCAACAAAAGGGTTGCGATGCGAGTGATGTGAAAGACGCGACGTGTGATGCGTGGTGTGGCACGGCATTGTGACGACCCACACACACACACACACACACACACACACACACACACACACACACACACACCTGTTTGCGTTTTGCGTGTGATGATTTTGGATGACTCGCGATGATTTTCCACTGCTTCTGCTGTCCTTCCTTCCTCGATCGCCAACAACAGCAGCGATGACAGGCAGCACTGGATGGCTTGTGAGCGGCCTGGTGGCCTTGCTGGTGGTGTGGGTGGTGCGGAAGGCGGTGAAGCTGTGGAAGTTTGTCTCTGCGCTGGAACAGCTCAGTGGCGCCCCCTTCAGCTTCCCTTCTGGGTACGAGCGCCCAGCCATCGCCCCTGTTGTCGTGTTTGCTCTGCCTGTGTGCAATGGCCGTTGCTTGCATCTGATGTCTATCACATTTCAGTGGGGTTGTGTGTGTGTGTGTGTGTGTGTGTGTGTGTGTGTGTGTGTGTGTGTGTGTGTGTGTGTGTGTGTGTGTCGTCGTCGTCGTCGTCGTCGTC